GGATCCGGACTCTTCCATCCGTTCCACATGCGTCGCGGCCGTGTCGGCGCTCTCTTCCCGGACGACAAAGCCGCCGTTTGATTCGGCGTTCCTGAAGCCATTGTCTGATGCGCTCTTCACTGAGCAGGAGACCAATGCGCAGACCGGGGCTGCTCTGTGCCTCGCGGCGGCGATCGACGCGGCGCCCGATCCGGATCCGGGTCGGCTCGGGCGGGTGCTGATGCCGAGACTGGAGAAGCTGGTGAAATGCGACGCGTTCAAGGCGAAGGCCGCGGGTTTGGTGGTGATCGGAAGCGTGATCGGCTCCGGTGGTGTCGCTGGAGCAGCCATCGGATCCGGCGGATTGAAGGGTCTGGTGGACTGTTTGTTAAGTTTCTTGGGTAGTCAGGATTGGGCCGCGAGGAAGGCTGCGGCCGAAGCTTTGCGGACATTGGCGGCGATGGAGAGAGATGACTTAGCTGAGTTCAAGATTAGATGCTTGAAGATATGCGAAAGCAGAAAATACGACAAGGTTTTCTTGAATTTGATTTCATCGAGTATACGTTCTGCTTAAGCAATGATCCAGGGTTTGAATCAAATTTGTCTTGATTGTATAGGTGAAAGCTGTAAGAGAAGCCATGAATCAGATGATTCAGACTTGGAAACTTGTCCCTGATATCTCCGAGGAGGTTTCTCCACCCAGATCGAATGCTTCTTCCAAAGGTATTTTCGCCAGCACAATTCCCCATTGTTGTATATGTTCGTATGTGTGTGTATGTATACACACGGTCTCAGATGGAAGAAACTTGGGAAATCCGGTAATGGAATCATGGATATTTTCTTTTTTTAGCATGTATGAACCGGGACTAATCTCATGCTTCTATCCATTCTTTTTCCTGATTCAGTGTCAAAGCTTCTGGTTTTGACAAGTTTGGCGTTAAGACTGATGTTTGTTCATGTTTTCTGAATGTCTCCATTGGGGCAGATGGTGATGCAAGATATAGGCAATACCCTTCTGGATCTAAAGTTGCTTCAACCCCAGGTTTCGAATTTGCTAAAACGAGCAGATCGACTCCACCCGAGAGTTCCATAGCCACCACGACTAGGCGAAGGACCACCATGAGGATCACCGAGAAGAAAACCGGTCCAGTATCGAATACGAAACCAAATATAAGGAGAAGGTTGGACTGGAAATCTGGAGCTAATACTATTCCTACCGTTCCGCCGGTTGATGAAGAGAACGATCATGATGAAAATGCAAAGGAAACATGTCGAATCCATCATGAGAAGATGCAGAGGTTAAGTGGTGAAAGCTCTAGATTTTCTGCTACAACAGGACATGTCTTGTCTGAAAACCAGAATAGTAACTACAACAAGGGCTTTGAAGATTTGTCTTTGATCCGTAACCAGCTTGTTCAGATTGAACACCAACAATGCAGTCTAATGGATGTCCTGCAGGTTTGGAGCATTAAACCAAATGATCCAACCATACATATATGTATATAGATTTCTTTTGTTTTTCTCGGTTGCCGATCATGTCAAAACGTCTTTAACTCGTTTTTTTACCCCTATTTATCATTCAGAGATTCATAGGCAGCTCCGAAAACGGCATGCGTGCTCTGGAAACACGAGTTCACGGCCTCGAACTAGCGTTGGATGAGATCTCGTATGACTTGGCGGTATCGAACGATAGGATGACTGCTGGTCCAGACAGAAGCCATTGTTGTCTGTTTCCTGCTGCAGGATTTATCAGTTCCAAATTCTGGAAGAAAACCGACAACTCCCGGTATCCAGCTTCGAGATTGTCCACTTACGCAGGTACTCCATCTGTTTATCGGGTCAGC